GATCTTGCCATTCCTGTGTTCTTTGTATTATCTACAGCCGAGTAACTGGATACCAAGGCTGTGCCAATACTGCTCTGAAAACAGTACAGTACAAGGAGAGGCATAATGGCTTTTCTATCCTCAGCCTCAATTTTGAAGGGATCAAGGAAGCAATTTTATTTATAATCTTATCAATCTTTCTTCCTAACATGTGCAACTTCTGAATGTTCATCTCTATTCATTGATGAATTATAAAAGTTTAGGGCTCCCCTTTATTTCCGATCTACCCATTGTTAATTATCACGTACCACATATTTTCCTACTGACAGTGGGTGGAGAGCTGCTGGCCAGCAGCTTCACTAGTGGGTTTAGAGGGCAGACGTTATTGGGAGGATGGAGTAAAGCCGTCCAGAGTTACAAGCTAGACTGGCGTTCTTGTAACCCTTTTTGTGCATTGCATTGCAGTAGCATTGCAGCGACGCAGACTGCTTTGGGAAACAGTTTGTCATGTTTAAAGGTCATGATCTTGACTGTTTCTAAAGGTAATCATCAATCATAGTATAAAGCTATAAAAAAATCTGACAGGTTATCAATATTTTTTGACTTCTTGATTGGCCATTCCTGGACATTCAGTGAGGGAGTGTCTCTGCATTGCAGTTGGTAGACTATGCAGAAGGTGTAAAGCAGCTGAAAGGTTTACACCTCAGCATTTCCTGAGGGCACTGAATTTACTGATTGCCGATTTTGAAGCTTTCTTCTGACCTTTAGGCAGAAGGAGCAGTGCTCAGCCTCGACTGTGGAGAGTGAAAGGTTTAAAGCAATAGAGTGCACCAAAATTACATAGTGGAGGTACTTCCACTGGTGTGTGGTCTTGTAACCCTTCAGCTTGGCTGCGTAATTGTTTTTAGTTCCGAATATGTTCTTTCATTAGATTGCCAGCACTGTGAGAAACTGATAAAAATGTAAGAGTGTTTTTATCCTTCAGATAAGACAGTATACTGAGGTCTGCTTCTCTATTCAGCTGGACCTAAGTATCCAATGGCAACATTCGAAGAAAGGGAGTTTTTCCCAGTATCCTGGCCAACATTCCCCCAGAAAAACTTGGTCATTGAATTCATGACTGTTTGTGGTACATTGCTGTGTGCAAATTAACTGCTGCGATCACCTACAAACACAGTCATCATACTTAACAGTGAATCCTGTGAAGAGCTTTGAGAGATCCATCAATGGAGATTTGATTGCCCGGATATTGGCCATTTCGAGCACTGAAAGCTGGTTAACGTGGGTCCAGAGGAGAGCCGAGTTATTAGCATGGGGCGGTGCTATACCAGGGCTCTCCTGTGGTTAGGAAAGGATCCCTTTGTTTTGAAAAAAGGGAGACTGTCAATCTCTCGCAGTAATTCAGCTGCAGCGTCTTTTAACTTGGTGTGTTCAGTTTACTCTTTCCAAAGGAGCAGAGGAAGTTGAGACATGTGAGAAAATAGGATCCAACATGAGGTTCACATTTAGAAATTGTAATGCATTGAATTAGGAATTAACCAGATGTGCTGGCCTGGAGATGACTTCCTTTTCTCCTCCGCCTCCCCCATCCCCCCTCACCCACATAAGCATATATCTCAAAGGCAACACCTGGTAAACTGTAAGCTTATGATTCCAAAAGTGGTTGGGTGACCTGACTTCACAAATTTCGGCATAGAATACAACACTACTCGTGTCTCTCTCTCCTATCCCCAACCCCCGCCCCTCAAAACAATTGCATTGTTACTTAATGCTGTAAGGACTTTGTCAAGGGGTGACTGGATCAACAGCGGGAATTTTGACTGCTACTGGTTGCTATTGATCAGGAGACTAAAACCATGATGAAGCATGTAAATGGGAAGCAATAGATCTTCAAGTCCAGGTTTCACAATGAAAAAACTATCCAATTAAGGATTCCATTTACCTAAATGAGGGAAACACTGGAAACTAATACAATTACATTTTATAATTCTGTTTGTGTGAAAGGTCTTGAACTGCATTTAGCAACAGGTTCCTTTAAAATCATAATTTATACATGTTTCAGGTTCATCTATTTGATAAAATTCACCACCTGTTTATCCATCTTCTCATGTTGATGATTTAGAACAGGATAAAAATCTTTATTCTGAATGCGCATGATTTAATCGTTTAAAATAGCAACCCTAATTATAAAAGGCTGTTGGATGTCGATTTAGATGGCTTACAACCAACTGTCAGGATCAACTCTAAGCCTCACTCCTCATAATAACAATTTTACTTCAATTTATTTGAAAGGAAGTTTATCCCTGTTGATAAGCATTGTGCCAAATGGAGCTGATCTTAAATGGGTGGACTCCAAAATCGAAACATAAATAATCCTTGCATTTGAAATCGCGCTTTATCACATCGTTGAAACATCTCAAAGCGCTTCACAGGATTTTACTGTAAAGTGTAGTGACATTTGGACCTTGGTTTATTATCTCATCTGAAGGATGACACCTCTGAAAATGCAGCACTCCCCCATACTGAATTGAGGTGTCAGCCTGGATTATGAAATCAAAAGTGGAGCTTGCTAACAACTAAGCCAGTCTGACACCAGGAAGTTGGTATGTACAGAGATGCGATGCTTGATGAACTTCAGTGATTTTTAATTCAATTCACAGATGGCAATTAGAAGGCTAGATACGCTACAAACTCCTTGCAGGTCACAAGTCTCTATTTTCGGTCCCCTGGTATATGATAGGCGGAAACACATCAATTACTGTGTTTAGGAATATCCAAACCAGACTGAGAGTTCCACCAATGTACGTCACCCACACGTGTCTGGAATGGCATTAAGAACACACTCTTCATAAAGGGACGAACCCCGTTACCTAATTCCAGAGAGTATTAGATGTTGAGTTGGTAACAGCCAAGACGTGAAGACCTAAAGTTCAATCTGCTGTCTAAGATATTAAGAAATAGAAGAAAACTGGAAAGTCCCCTTGTGCAGTGTGAAGGTTTGTATCTGCAGCTGGTTTCGATTGCGGTGAGAAACAGCCAGCGGGGTTTCCCTCTCCGTAACATTATAGGATGGTTTTAATATTCTCAGAAAGAAGCTGATGCTTTCTGTTCATCTTATTCTGTGGGACATTGGATGCAAACCCACACAGCTAATTAACTAGCTTCCTTCTTGGATGCAGGTTTGAGTAACCTGAATTGTTTTGCAAATTAATCTTGACCGTATAATTTAATCTGGGAAAAAAGTGTTTTGATTTTGATATAAATCTTGGTGTAACCAGTCACGGACCATGGACTTTGTGCTCCAGACTGTGACATGAGCTGTCCAGTTCGTACTCCCAATTAATTTTCAGTCCATATTAAAAAGCATTTCCCTTTTTTTGTGGTTTAATTAATATAGCACAGCCTTTCTTCATTTAATCTCCACAGGGACACCCTCAATCTCCTCACAGTGACCTTTTCTTGTGTAAATTACCTCTACGTGGTTGTTTAAACAAATGGATCTTAAACAGCACATTCACCCTAATTATGGGTTTCTAAATGGAAAATTGGCTTGCTCCCTTGTGCTCATCCTGTGCGATCGTGAAATGGCTTTAGCTTCAAAAATTTATTCTCCGCTGCCTGTGGGCTAGGATTTGATTGGTACTGGGAAAAACACAACCCTTAAGTACCAACAGAAAAGACGAGAGCACTGTGTACCACTTTCTGGTAACACATTCCAGCAGTCAGTTATCCTCTGTGAAAAAATTCTTCTGGTGTCTGTCCTAAAATTCTCCTTCACAACGCTGAACTTATGCCCTGTTTTGCTGCTTCCTTGTTATATTTGAAAATATTGTATCAGGTTTATTTTCTGAATCCCATTAAATTATCTACTTTTATAAGGCCCCTTCGAAACTTTTTTGACAATAATTTTTAAGGCTGAAGAGCCTTAGCTTACACTGGGGATCATGCCTATTGATCCACTCTGCACTGCTTACAGTTGAAATTCCACTAGAAAAACCTGTAACTTCATATAACTGAATGCGTTGTTTTAGTTTCATTCAGAGCAGAGTGTATAGAGCAGTGGTGGCCAACCTTTTTGGTAGGCCAAGCAAATAAATGTTTGTTGATTGAATATTTCTTGGTTTATGGCCACACCATAAATATCACAATTCAGTAGCTACTGGAAAAAAATATTGATTTAACAGAGACTTACCTAAAGTAGTGGAAATATTTGATGGGCCACTTCTTGACTCACCCACGGGCCATAGATTGGCCACAATTGGTACAGATACAAGGTAGAAGAGGGCCCCAAACTGCATTGGAGAACTGAACCATCTCACAGAGCAGTGTAAATGCCTGGGAAATGGGTTAAATCTCATCAGGCATACCTGTGAAGAGCTAGCAGTTGAATCAGCAATGTAGTGCGTGTGTGTATGAAATGCCCTCTTGTTGAGTTGGTGCCAAGCCAACCTGAACTGGAGGTCTAGACTTCCTGAATGCCTTGGCTATGTGCTACACATCAGGATCCACATAGCACTTGATAATTTGCTTCTTCACATGCAGGACTGCAGTTGTATAGCTTTTTTGGAACTGATGAACCTATCCCCCAACAACCTGGTGCCAGTGCTGTCCAGGTTACTCTGAAGTTGGTTACGGTATATCTACAGCTTGGATATGTTCTGAATTGTGTCTCATCAGATGCAATGATGGTTGTGGGTTAATATGGCATTGCTTGAATACAGTACAAGTTCAGACATCTACAGGCATGGGCAGGTTAGCTTCTCACAGAGAGAGGGCTAACTTTGATTTTACCACAAGGTGTAAATTTAAAACTTTTGTAGTATTTGGAATGCTATTTAGGCTTCTCTTTTGGGGAGTCTCAATAAGACGAGGAATATTGGTGTGGCATGGTATACTTTACCATTTCAGGCACACTTCAACAGAGGCAGGCCGAGCTTGGAAATAAAATATTAGAATTTCTCGCAATCTTTTGAAGCTGCTTCAAAAACTAATGGTAACTGTTTTTATTTGCTCTTTCCCAGATATGATTACCGTGAGATGTTGCACAATGCCACCTTCTGTTTGGTTCCGAGGGGCCGCAGACTGGGATCTTTCAGGTTTCTGGAGGCTTTGCAGGTAAAATATATTCCATAGTAATAGGTTTTACTGAGCTCTTAATCCACGTTGAACATTTGGCTAAGTCGCTTATTGTGCAGGAGTTTGCATTTGAGCATTTTTACGTTTTATTTGTACTATTTGTGCCCTGTGAGGATGCTTGCTTACAGGAATACAAAGCAAGTTTTTAAAATGAGAACTCTTCCACAACACTCACCCTACCACCACTTTCCCAATTGAGCATCAAGCTGTTTCTTAAAGCAATCCCAGTATCTGACCTCATTTTTTCCTGATAACCCATAGTAGCAAAATGTGAGAGAGAGTGTGTGAGAGAGCGCGTGTGAGAGTGCACGTGTGTGAGAGCGCGTGTGAGAAAGCGCGAGCATGTGAGTGACCGCGAGCGTGTGAGAGAGCGTCGCACAGTCTGCTCATCTTGCTAACCACTGTTTAGCTCACTGTGGTTGAACTCACAGCAACCAGTATTAAACACATGAACTTGTGGAGTCCTGTAGTGTAGTGGTTAAAATGCTAGGCTCACAAACGAGAGGACCTAGTTTTGATTCCTGGGTCAGGGCAAAGCCATAGGCAAGTTTCCTTACTCCACACACATGCCTCTGAAACCTAGCAGTAAGTAGGATCGCTTTCCTGGGGTAATAATCCCTCAATAATAATAACTTGGTCGCTCAATCCACAACTAGCAGTAAGTAGGAACCTGCTTGTTTGTAGATTTCGCCCACAAAACACACAGTCACTACACTTTATAGTATGTCCTGTAAAGCGCTTTGAGACCGCTCAACGATGTGGTAAGGTGCTATATCAAATGCAAGGATTATTATTATATTGTCCCATAGAAGTTCTTTAACAATTTCACTGTGGATCTGGCATCTCTTTGCATCATACATTTAAGATTCACGTGCACATATTTATCTCTATTCTGTAATGTTTGACATTCTAAAATCAAGAGCAATAAATCAAGTGGAATTGAGTGCCTGCTACACAAGGAATACTTGCATGTTAGTTTTGTGTGACACAAATTTTGCCAAGGTTCAAAAATAGTTAATGTCCCTTGAAAAATTATTCTTTAACAATATGCATGCTTGTCACTGACACAGTTTCTGTGTTTTGCTGTATCTATTAATAGTTTTCTATTCATTTCCTGCAGACTGCATGCATTCCAGTGATGCTGAGTAACGGTTGGGAGCTGCCATTTTCAGAAGTCGTTGACTGGAACCAAGCTATTGTTGTTGGAGATGAAAGATTATTACTGCAGGTAGGATGGCTATTGATAGTGAGCATTCAAATAATTCTTAACCTGAATTGAAGTACTACCTGAGTCAGAAGGTTGTTGATTCAAGCCCCACATTGAATCTTTGAACTCATAGGCTAGGCTGACACTCCAATGCAGTGATGGGGGTGTGCTGCATTACTAGAGATGCTTCACTTCGGATGAGACTTTAAACCGAGGTCCCATCTGCTTGTTCAGGTGGATATTAAAGATCTCATAGCATTTATTGAAAAGAGAAGGAAATTTTCCATTGTGTCTTGGCCAACAATCCTCCAAATAAAATTGGTCACTTACTTCATGACTGTGGAACATTGTTGTGCACAAGTTAGTCTCTGCTTCCACCTACAAAATACACAGTTACTGATGAGGAGAAATTACTGTAGTATAACAATATAATAGAAAGACTGGATAGTTTAGAGGTTTCTTTTCTGGAGATGAGGCAATTGAGAAAGCACCAGATTGTGTTTAAAATTATTAAAGGGTTTAATATAGTAGACATGAATATGCTGTTTCTATTTGTTGGTGAGTCCAAAACAAGGGAGTTTAAATACAAGATAGCCAGTAGCAGATCCTAAATAGTAATAATCCTTACATTTGATATAGCGCCTCATCACATCATCGAGACATCTCGACGTCTCAAACCGCTTCACAGAATATACTGTAATGGTGGGGCAGGCAAGGCGGGGGGTGTGAAGCAGGAGTGGGGGGAGCGGCCAGATGATCGGGGGTTAGGAGGTCGCAGAGGTAGTGGGAGTAAGCTCCATGGAGGGCTTTGAAGGTGAGGATCAGGATCTTGACCGTACCCTCTGAGTGATGGGGAGCCAGTGGAGTTGGGAGAGGATGGGGGTGATAGGGTCATGGAGCCTGGTGCGGGAGAGGATACAGGCTGCAGAGTTCTCGATGATCTGCAGCCTATGGAGGGAGGAGTTGGGGAGGCCGACAAGCAGTGAGTTTGCATAGTCAAGCCTCAATGTTATGAATGCGTGTATGAGGATTTCGGCGACCTGCGGTGTGAGACAGTGGCGGAGCCGATCAATGTTGCAGAGGTGGAGAAAGGCAGAGCGGGTCATGGCGCAGATGTGGGGTAGAAACAACAGTTGAGGGTCAAACAAGACCCCAAGGTTCCAGACTGGCTCAGTGAGGTGGAGTGTGTATCCATGGATGGTGATGCTGTCAGCGCCTGAGATGTGGAAGCGGTGACGGGAGCCAATCAGGAGAGCTTCGGTTTTGTTGACGTTCAACTGAAGAAAGTTAGCTCTCATCCAGGACTTGATGTCTGACAGATATTCTGTGGTCCTGGAGTCAAGGGTGGAGGCAGAGAGGTAGAGTTGGATGTCATCCGCGTACATGTGGAAGTTGACCCCATGTCTGCGGATGATGTCATCAAAAGGGAGCGTATAGATATTGAAGAGGAGGGGACCAAGGACAGAGCCCTGAGGAACGCCGCACAAGACGGTACAGGGGCTTGAAAAGAAACTGTTAGTGGATAGGAAGTGGAGGCGATGTGAGAGGTACAATCTGAACCATTCAAAGACAGAGCTGTGAAGATTGAGAGGCAACAATGATACACAAAAATACACTTCTCATCTGTAAACTTAACACTTGGTCAATATGAATTAACTCTAAACTATACATTTAAATGACTGGCTGGCATAATGAAAATATATTGCGTCAGAATGCCTCAAAGTGCTTCACAAGTAATTACTTATTTTGGTGACAAACACAGCAGCCATTTGCTCCACTATCAGTCACAAGGGGAATGAGGTCAGGTTTCCAGTTTACTGTCAAACTCCTCCACAAAGTAATAATCCCTGACCAACTAATTGAGTAGGAAAGGTTTGCTACAAATTTGGGATATCCCCAGGGTAACCTGCTTCCGGAGTTTCATCCTCCCTGACTATCTGGGGAAGCAGCTTTACCTGGTGCCTATGAGAGGTAGGCCAACCGTGAAGTTTAAATTGTGAAAGTGAATCCATGCGCTACATCATTAGACCATCTTGTTATCGGAATGGTGCAGAATGCGGTATGGTCAGATATCGATTTTAATTTTCTTCAATGCCCACTGGTGCTGAATGTGGAGGTTCCTGATCTTTGTATAGTTTTTAATCAAATTTGAGGGTTTCAAATTGATCCCTTTGTCTTATCTTAAAAGGTGTGATTTGAATTAAAGTGGGAATCATCCCTTAGGTAGGTAGGATTGCATACCATCAGGAAAGATTACAGATTCTTTCAACTCTGAATATGTTATTAGATGAAACCAACAACTGTCCTCTTTTACTGTCTGGCTGACTGGTCCCATTTTCTAAATACCATTTGCTTGATTTGATGTCTCATGCTCTCAATCTCCACCATTGTCTCTTCCTATCCAATTCCTCCTTGAAATTATCAACTTAGCTGTTTCCACCGGTAACCTGCTGCACACGCTCATCATAATAATAATCCCTCCAACACCAAAAACAATAATAAATTGGTCATTTTCAGTCTACGACTGTTTGTGGGACATTGCTGTGCGCATTTGGCTGCCGCGTTCGCCCACAAATATACAGTCAATTCACTTTACAGTATATTCCGTGAAGCGCTTTGGGACGTCCTCCCGACGTGAAAAGCGCTATATCAAATGCAAGGATTATTATTTATTATGATAAAGAAGTTCAATTTGAACTGTCTGTTCATCTTCCCCATTCTGAGTTTGAGACCACAGACCCCTTTTGTGAACTGTATCAATCTAGTTCTTGTAGTCTAGTTTATTTTGCTAAATCATGTGCTTGTTTTTTTTGAAGAAAACATTTAGACTGTCTGTTGCCCAGTAAATATTTTGTTTAGATTAAAATAACGAAAGCTTGAATAATTTAGAATGCAGAAAGATAAAGAATGGGTTATGTGAACAGCTAAGATAACCTCACCGATGAACTTTGTGTGCAGGGCAGGGTGAATAATGCACGTGTTTTGTTATGAACTTTCAGTGAAAACAAGGTTGGACAAGTAGAGGTAAGTTTCAAACTGTGGGAAAGTAGATTACAAAAGTGTCTGCAAAGAAAGCTTCAATTGTTACAGTGCTGTTTCATTATCTATTGTTGAGGGACTGTTTTAGATCAATGCTGGCTGACATGTTGCCACATGCCTAATAGCAATCCTCGGTACTGGTAACAAGCACCAGTCTGTGGTCAGCTGAACAGGCAGCTTTATCGTGAAGTATGCTGCAACACTTTCAAATGTATTAAGGTCACAATTTTTTTTAATGATGAAGATAGTAGATCTTTTCAAGGGTTTGTTTGCATGACTTGTATCTCCTCAATTCCAAAGGTTGCACTTTGTTTGCACATGGTGTGTGCCGGTTTACAGGAATACAGTATTAACCTAATTTCTGTGAGATAAAGGACATGGGTAGGGTTGCATTTGGGACAATTACAGAATATTGTAATTGGAGATTCTGGTGCACGAGCCTGGTGGCGGGCTACTTCAGGGAAGTTCTGATTGCTTCTTATTAAATTGCAGCCAAATGTGAGGATATTTATCATTTATATATTCAGCACAGGTTGCCCCACAAATGTTTCCATATTGCATTGCCACATTCCCGAGGAGTTTTGCACTGCACATCATAGTGCCTTAGCCGGTTTCCTTCGATTGTTGTTGCTGTTGGTTTACTTTGTTTCCTGCTTTGATTAGTTTGGATTTACAGTTCAGGCTTCACACACGCCACATTTCCTGTGTTGCTGCGGGAGGCCAATTACAAGCTTCCTGTGATTCATCAAATGTTCTTTAATAAATGCAGCCTTTAAACATTAAACAGACGACTTCCATCCCAGATAATTGTGAATTTCTGATAATTGCGTGACTGGTCAGTATCTAAATCGATATATACTGCTGTTATCTTAAGCCCCCATTATTAGTTTATTTTTTGAATTATACTTATTCCATAGAGTTTTGGCACTACAATTTCAGCAAAATGTAGTGCTGGGAGGTGACATTTTTACCAAGCATCCACTTTAGCTCGGGATAACATCCGGTGGTACAATTATAGATTTTGTCCTTCCTGACTTGTGTCTCAGGAGAGCTTTTCAATGAAGTAAGTGCTGGTGGCTTGAGGTCCCAAACTGGTGTTGGGAGCAATTTGAGCTGATGAATTAGAAGTCGCAAGAAGTCTATTGCACAATATTAAAAGTGTATTGACTTAAGTGTGATTTATCTTCTTGTCTCTCTTTCTATTCCCCACCTCTTTGTAGTACAGATATAAGCCTCATAACAGCACTGCCTCAAGTGGTAGGTACATAGCTGTTCCTCGCTTCTGCCAGTACTGCTGTGTAACTCTCAGGGTGATTGTTCTCCCCTCACGATGGCAAAACACCTCATCTATTGCTCAGCACATTCCCTTCATGGAACATTTCAGATTAGCTGCCTGACCTCCCAAAGACAACAGACTACTGGGTATGGCACTGCTCTTATCAAAACAACACACCAGTGACATCAAGCAATGTTCGACTTCTGATAACAGCAAATATAATCTGAATAAAGAACCTTGGATAATTTTCCAATGTATTGGATGTAAATGCTTAACTCTATAGCCTTCAAATACAAAGATTACAAGGATTAAAATGACATTTATTTGGGAGAGGGTGAGATTGAGTATGCACCTTAAAACAATTTCCCTTTAAAATAACAAGAATTAGAACTTGCATTTATATTCAACAACAACTTGGATTTATATAGCGCCCTCCACGCCGGACGGTGTTTCAGAGCGCTTTACAGTAACGGATCCCAGGACTGAGCCGGGGGAGGGGGAGGAAGGTGTCCAAAGGCACGGTCGAAAAGCAAGGTCTTCAGCAGAGACCTGAAAATAGGAAGGGAGGGAGCGAGGCGAAGGGAGTGAGGAAGGCAGTTCCAGAGCCTCGGGACATAGTGGCTGAAAGCACGGCCGCCGAGGGTGGAGCGGAGGACTCGGGAGATGAGGAGGAGGCCAGACCTGGAGGAACGAAGGCAATGGGAACTGGTTTGAGGAGAGAGGAGGTCAGAGAGGTAGGGGGTGTGCAGAGGAGTGCAGGGACTTGAATACAAGGATGAGGATCTTGAAGTCGATCCTCTCTGGGATAGGCAGCCAGTGCAGTCTGGCAAGGACTGGGTGATCGGGGAGCAGAGTTTTGTGCGGGTGAGGATGCAGGAGGCAGAGTCTTGAATGATTTGGATTTTATGGATGATTGTGGATGGGAGACTGGCGAGGAGGGCGTTAGAGTAGTCCAGCCGAGAGGTGACAAAGGCATGGACCAGGGTTTCAGTGGCTTTTAGGGAGAGGTATTGGCGGAGACGGGCTATATAGTGTCCTTCAGGCGGTGCAGCATCTCAAAGTGCTTGATATAAGCTGTGTCAAGGCAATATTCCTGGTCTTGGGACCTTTGTGGTTCTGTATTGATTTCACTGATGCCCCATTACCAGCAATTCATTCATTGTTGCACTGGGACAATAAACTGGCAGATCTGCTGGCTGAATGTCATGTAGATTTATTCATCAATTGGTAAACTCAATTACTGGGTGCACATTTTCTGCCGCTGCTTATTGTTCATTGTCTTGTTTTACAGATCCCTTCAACAATAAGGTCGATTAATCAGGACAAAATCCTAGCACTTAGGCAACAGACACAGTTCTTGTGGGAAGCTTATTTTTCTCAGTCCAGAGGATAGTATTGACAACATTAGAGGTGAGTAGGAATTGATGAGATTAGTGTACACCCATTTGCTCTCTAAACTGTGAAAGCTGTTGTGAACCCCCAGGATAAACTGAAAATATAAGGTTGTCTTAATTTGAACCAATTTAAAAGTTAAATGTAGCACTATGGTAGCTATTTAGGAGAAGACAAAACAACTACTTGGAAACTAGATCCAAAGGATAATGTATGAAAGTGACTGGTGGACTAATTTTCCGCACCATATCACGTCTGGTACCTTTTAAATCTTTAACAAAGGCCATTTCAGCAGTGTATGGAATGCTCTGCATTCCTAACTATCACAAATTCCTCTTTAACTGTACAAATATGGAACATAATCCACTTTTGGTTTTCGGGTGGAATTTCTCTTTTTAGCATTGTCATATCAGAGTTTCATAACATGTTAGAACTGGAAGATTTCAGCTGCATTAAGATAAGTCAATGTTAGCCTTCATTATAGATGTGTCATGTTACTTTAATTGAAGAGAACATTTATACATTTCAAGTTCCAGTCAATCTCTCATTTTATACATTTACTATTGGAAGAGGGGAGGGGACACAGGGGAATTTCTTTTAGTAAAATGCAGTGAAAATGTCTCCATAAAATAATCCTTGCATGTTCTTTATCATGTCTTCAAAATGTCTTAAAGTGCTTCACAGGACTTTACTGTAAAGTCTAGTGATTGTATTTGTACGTGAAAGAGGCAGCCAATTTGCACTCAACAGTGTCCTACAAACAGCTGTGAAGTGAATGACTAGTTCTATCTGGATATTGGTAGCCAAGACACTGGGAGAAACTTCCTTCTCTTTTCGAATGGTTCCATGGGATCTTTAATGTCCAGCTGAACAGACAGATGAGTATAGCGTTTAATCCAATGTGGGTCACCTCATCCAGCACTGCTCTGGAGAGTCAGTCCAGACTATTAGATCAATCCTGAAATGGAACATGACCTGGACAATGGAAAACAGCGGCCGCATTTTTTCTGCAGAATACGCAACCAACACACCCTCTGCTACAAATAACCTCTTCCACTACAAAAATATCCCTCCGCTACAAGCAACCTGTTCCACTACAGACCCCCTCTGCTACAAGCCTGTAAAAATGTAGTGTGCTGGGCCCCGGGCCTTTGTGCGTTGCTACAAGCTGTTTACTTGGTGTCACTACTGTGAATGGGGCGTCTCCGGACACACATGATCGGTGCGGCACAAGTGGGAATAGCTTCACTCGCCCCGAGGGCCCGCTGTTGTGATTGTCTGTGTCTGTATGTGTGTGTCTCTCTGTGTTTGTGTGTTTGTTTGTGTCTGTGTGTGAGTGTGTGTCTGTGTGAGTGTATGTCTGTGTCTGAGTTTGTGTCTGTGTGTGTTTGTGTCTCTCTGAGTGTGTGTGTGTCTCTCGGTATTAATGTGCGTGTCTGTGTATGTGTGTCTCTTTCTGTTAATGTGCGTGTCTGTCTGTGAGTGTGTGTCTCTGGGTCTGTGAGTATGTGTCTCTGTAAAACTCCGTACCCCCATTATATCAGTCCTTGCCAGGCTCCCATTTGCTCGCAATTACTGAAAAGATCAATTTCACGATCTTCTCACTCGTCTTAAAATCCCTTCATGCCCTTGCACATCCCTACCTATCCGATTTGCGTACCTCCCACTCCACTACCCGCTGCCTACTCTCGTTCCTTGTCCCCTCCGCTCCGCCATTCAGCCACTATACACTGAAACTCTGGAACTCTCTCCCTCGATCCCTCCGCCTTGCCCCCTCCCTCCCCACTCTCAAATCCCGCCTAAAGACCTTTTTGATCGTGCTTATGGTCATCCCCCCTCCCCCTCGCTCAAGATCAGACTCCACCGCTGTCGAGCGCTCCGGGACTCTACCCTGTCTGAAATGCGCTATATAAATGCAAGTTGTTGTTCCATGAGTGTGTGTGTTTCTCTGTGTCTATGAGTGTGTATGTTTCTCCGTGAGTGTGTGTCTCTCTCTGTCTGTGAGTCAGTGTCTGATTTTATGCCTCTGAGTGCATTTATTTGTATGTCTCTCGCTTTCTATTAGTGTGTGTGTCTGCGTGTATGTGTCTTTCTGTTAGTGTGCGTGTGTCTCTGTGTCTGAGTGTGTTTGTGTGTGTGTGTGTGTCTCCCATGTGTGTGTGCGGTGGTGGCCCCAAGAGTCAGACGGTTGATCACTGGTGAGCAATGCTGGTATTGTGTGGATCTCCAGGCCTTGAGATGTAATGTATGGTGGAAATTGACCATTCAGCCCTTCGGGCCTGAGCTGATGTTTCTGTCCACACGCACCCACCCCCTGAGTGGGCCATACAGTTTTTGCAACAGTCTTATATGCGTTATTTCTTCATCTTTAGTTTTTAGCAATAAAGTGAAAAATGTAGGTTAGCAGTAAAACAAACCTCAGTAGCACCAATCACCCCCTCCCCACACAATTCTCCGCCAAATTTGCCAAACTTCCCCGCAACTTTAAATCAAATATTTCTGCAGTTTTCTATTGTCCCTAGACATGACCAACAACTTTCCATCTCCGAGGCGAGAGTGCTATCAGCTGAGCCAGGCTGACACCTAATGATATTGTGAAGTGATGATTCACTTTTCCCTTTAACATTGCGGGACATTGTTGCTAAATCAACATTTGGAAGTGTGTTTGAAAAGATACTTTGAATAAGAACTCATTTAGAGATTGGAAGGGAATTGTCGGGGAAGTGCTGATGTTTAGGAAGTATTTGAGGAATATGATGTATCTTCTGTTTCTGAGACTTTATTAAAGCAATTGGTAGAGAGCTACCAGTTTGATATGTTACAGAATATAAATATTTTATCTTGTGAGAAAGAAAGAACTTGCCTTATCACAGTATCATGGATGATTAGTTAAATGCCAAGAAAGATCCCTTTTCTCTTGAATTGCTTTGGGGAGTCCTGTAGCTTATTGATTAGAATACTCACCTCATAAGTCAGAGGACCCGGGCAGGGCGAAACCTTAGGCAAGTTCCTAAGCGTTATATCAAACGAAGGATTAATATAATTATCAATCGGTTTCTCTTCCTGCCCCTGCCCGGTTACCAGTGGTGTACCCCAGAGCTCCATCCTTGGCCACCTTCACTTCCTCATTTACATGCTCCCTTGGCGATGTTATCCGAAGTAAATTTCCACATGTGTGCAGATGACACACAAATCTACTTCTCCTCCATCAGCTGCGACTCCAGGTCTGCCAATGTTCTGTCGGCTTGTCTGGAAGACACTAGAGGCTCGATGAGCGCAAACTTTCTGCAACTAAATGTCAACAATACGGAAGCCATACTCCTTTGGTCCCATCAGTGTCTTCTGTCCAGTGGCTCTCACCCACTTAACCTCCCCAGCCTATCCCTCAAACTCACCAAACCGGTGTGCAACCGAGACGTCATGTTCGACCCATAGCTGTCCTTCCTTCCCCACATCCTGTCCCTGACCAAGACAGCCTTCCTCCACCTCTGCCACATTGCCCGCTTCTGACCGTACCTTACCCTAGTCGTAGCCGAAACACTCATCTACGCATTCGTCACTTTCCGACTCGACTTTTCAAATGCTCTCTTTGTCGGTCTCCCCAGCTCCATCATGCACAAGATCCAGCTGATCCCAAACTCTGCCGCCCACTTACTCATCCATTCTAAACTCTGTTCCCCCATCACAACAGTTCTAGCCAGGCTTCACTGGCTCCATATCACCGAATGGATCAATTTCAGATCCTCACACTCCTTTTCAAATCTCTTCATGTCCTGGCACCTCCCTGCCTCTCTGACCTGCTTACACCCCAGCCTATTGCCTCTGCTCGACTGGCTTCATTCTCCTGCATGTCTCTTGTGCCCTCCGTTCCATTGGTGCCCGCGCTTTCAGCCACTACTCCCCGAAACTGGAACGTTCTTCCTCTATCCCTCCATCTTGCCCCTTCCTTCCCTATAATAATAATAATAATCCTTGCAATTGATATAGCGCTTTTCACGTTCGGGAGGACGTCCCAAAGCGCTTCACAGAAGACACTGTAAAGTGAATTGACTGTATATTTGTGGGCGAACGCGGCAGCCAATTGCGCACAGCAATGTCCTACAAACAGTCGTAGATTGTAAATGACCAATTCTTATTGTTTTTGGTTTTTGGAGGGATTATTATTAGGCGTGTGGAGTAAGGAAACTTGCCCAAGGTTTCGCCCAGCCTGGAATTGAACTCAGGTCTATTTTCAGGTCGCAACTAAAGATCTTCCTTCCTCTTCAACCATACCTTCGGTCACCTAGCCCTGGCTCGGCGTTGTGCTCTGCCACTTTCGAGTGCTCTGGGTTCTTACCCTGCGTGAGGGGCCCCACCTCCCCAACAAGTTGTTGTTGGGGAGGTGGGGCCTCAGCATATCATCTGATCTAAAAGATGGCAACTTCAACAATTCACTACCGAGTGCCCTTAGTTCAGCCTCAGCCATGGGACTCAAACCCACAAGTTATGTTTTGTTCCAAAGAGGCTCTTACTTTTAACTAATAATTCAGAAATGAATCTTGTTTATTTTGCTTTTGGCATTCTCTTAAATCACTTCTCTGAACAAGTTATAAGATGCTCAAATTATTGAGGAAAATGTCTGGGGAAAATTTAAATATTTCTGCAGTTTGCAGCACCATTCATGCTGCTGTTGGAACCAACTTTTTGAACAACGTTATAAAGGAAGAGAATTAAATGGGAGGCCACAGCAGAAATATTAAAAAAAACACTCACAACTTACACTATTTATGTTTTGCTTGCTCAATGTCACTTGATTTATTATACTGCGGCATATTGTTAACAGAGCATGTATTTTTTTTAAAACACAGATAATTCAAGATCGAGTTTTTAAGCATATATCACGCAATAGCTTATTCTGGAATAAACCTCCAGGAGGATTGTTCAGTCAGCCGCAGTATTCAACACATTTGGGCGACTTTCCTTTTTATTATGCTAATCTAGGTAAGTAATTGCGAATCTGTTGAATGTGGTGTTGCATTTGCCTCGAGTCTTCAACAGAAGTCTAGAGAATTTTGTGTACACACTATTTGATGATGAACCCAGCGTACTGAAATCCTTTCATGTCCTACAAGATGTAGTTGGTTTATTTGCAATCAATGTGGCACCATGCATAAAGCATGTTAGTCAAAATTATCTAGAATCTAAAAGTTACAATATTTCCATGTATGGCTTCAGTTAAGGGCAGGCATGTGCATTGATGTCAAATTCCACAGTTCAGTGACCGACCCTGCTACTGATGTAAGTGGTGAAGAATTTTGTGAATGCAGCATTACTTAAAAGATGAGTTTTTTTTGAAATACGTCATAACTCATTGAATCTTTCTAGGGTTTTAGCAAATGTGTTGCTACGTAAAATGATTTTGGGAAAAATTGTAATTTTATCATTTTTAAATGAGACTTCGACAAATAGTTTTTAAATTTGAGACAATTACAGCATTTGTGCTTGATTTTAGATGTGAGTGTGTTATATCTATAGCATTTAATAAACTTTATTATTAAACACTAATTGCTTCATCAAGGCATTTCATTTATGAATGTGTGTTTTAGTCTGCTTAAGTCAGCTGCAGAAATTCTATACTTGGGTTGCTCTATCAAGTTAATTTTAAATTTTTCCTGCCTTGGTTTCAGGTATAAAACCTTTGTCCCGGTTTACTGCTGTTATCCACGCAGTGACTCCGCTGGTTTCGCAGTCACAGCCAATATTGAAACTACTGGTAGCGGTAGCCAAGTCCCAGTACTGTGCACAGGTAGGCAAAACCATTTTCTTTACTCTTAAAATTTGGGTTTGATTTGCAGTGCTGCCCCATAAACCGCAGATCTTGTTGCTCTCATGGCTGTTAGTAAACTCCACTGCCTTGTGTACAATTGAACCACATTAATCAAGAAAGTCCCAGTTAGATCCATTGTCTGCACTGAGCTGTTAACATTGCTTCAGTGTCCACACTCATAAATGGAGAGCAGACATACAAGTCAGGTATCAGTAGACATACAGTTGGGTATCAATGGAAAAACAAAGGAGCTGTACTCCAGCAAAAAACTGCGACTTCAAGGGAGTTGGGGAAAAGATCTCACAAAACTAGTTCTTCCTTATTTAAAAAGAAAGGAAAGTCTACAGATAAAGTTTTCTAGTTTCTGTCTTTTAAGTTTGCTCCCAACACCAGAGTTTGTTACTTTTCATTATACTGAGGTAACCTCAACAACAACAAGATTTCATTTATAGAGCACCTTTCACGTCGGGAGGACGTCCCAAGGCGCTGAACAGTTGGGTCAGGACCCGAGCAGGGTCCTCACTCATCAGGTGCTAGTTTATCATTCTGTGTTTGGGAGAATCCAATAGCAAGATTTGAATTCCAGTGCAGGCTTTAGAAATACAATGGAAGAAATATGTAAACATGCTAAACCCTTGTGTGGGATATTTAATCTTTATTGTTGGGGGGGGGGGCAGCAATTATCTTTTTTAAAAGGGAATGTTGGTTTATGGAGCAGAGAGGCTTTTATTGGGATAGTGTGTCTCTCTGCCTATAGACAGTGAAGACTCTTGTGCTTCCTTATCTCCAGGTTATTGTGTTATGGGATTGTGATAAACCCCTTCCAGCCAAACACCGGTGGCCGTCCACTGCTGTGCCTGTTCTGGTTATTGAAGGAGAAAACAAAGTAAGTTTATATTTTTCCAAGACAAACAGTGCCCTATGCATTGATGGGGACAGATTACACAAAGGATTTGCTGACTAACTATTAAACTATGACCTACTTGCCATAATTTATATAAAAAAACACAAATAAAGCATCAGCACTTTTGATAACTTCTGCAAAAAGCAACTATTCAAATGGATTGGGGTGATTTCAACTTTGTGGTCTATCACACACAAGAATGATATTCCTTGTCATGTGGTGCTGGATATTGTCCAAGCAACCAAGAGAATAAAGCCTACTTGAATCTTCTGTAATAGATTTCCAAATGTTTTAAATGCTTTGTGTCTGGTCTAACTCGTATGTTAACCTCAGGGCCCTGACTGTCAGTTTTTATATGGTGAGGATATACAGTGAGAATCAGTGGATTACAGAAAGTAAACTGTAGAGTGGCATGGGGCCCAGTAATTCAAATTGCAGTGATACTTGAGTTATATAGATGGTTTCCTGAGCAATTTGCTAGCTGTAACTAAATTCTTTACTGTGATTTTCAATTCTTAAAGAAATCTTTTTCCCAGGCTTTTCTGAGTACAATAGATAGACCAATGTTTTGGCGTTCTACTTTGATGACTGTGTGGGGCGAGCTTAATGCAGGCAATATTTGTAACTAGAGCTATTCTGAAAAGTAGTTCTAGTTCCAAATATTGTATCTACTTTTTTAAAAATTTTTGGCAGTCTAGTAGAATTTGAAGTGGTGGAAATGGATGAAAGAACAGTTCAGAAACCTATCTCAAGCGTCAACAATTCTGAGCTGATTGAGGTCCACTATCTGGATTTGTTCAATGTTTAACCAGGGTCCTAACTCAGTTCATAACTAGTTTGAGCACTGTGTTCCTTCTTTTTTTACATATAGTGTCCACATATTTCTTATTTTCTCCCCACTGACACATGCCTTTCTGCTCCTGGTCTGCCCTCCTCTTGCAGCAGGAAGAAGGAATCTTTAATCTGGACGTGCAAATAGTTCACCTTGGTATACCCCTCCCCCTATCTATTTTAGGGAAGGAATTTTAATGTCAAAGTTTTTAGCAGTTTGCGTAAACTGTCGGATTCTGAGCGCCACTTTTCTTGCTTAGTTGTTCTTATTACAGAAAGGGGTAGGGAAACTGAATAAGAAGTTGCTGTCAAGTTACAGAACTGGGTTACTGCTGCGAGGGCAGATTATGTTACTAGTGTCTGATTTAGGCCTTAGGAAAATTGTTGAGCAGAATAGCCCTGGTTAAAAGTGTATCCCTATCTGAGGAGTCTATCAGTTGTTTTAGTCTTTTGTGACTTTGTTAAATTGTGAATATTTGATAGCTTCCAGTCATGTGAAAAAAACACCCTTTTAGCATTTTGCTTTGTGATCTCCTGCTAAACTCTGACTGAGTCGGCTGGGAAAAAAGCAGACTGTTGTAACGCTGCAGGAATGCTTTTTAGCTCAATTTCAAGAAAAAGTGAAGTAATCTATTTGGAGAGTGCATAACTGTAAATTGTGCATAACTGTAAACTGGAACACAATCAACTTAATTTAACCTCACTTTCCTCCCTCTTCATTCCTTTACATCTCCCATTTTTCCCACTTTCAAAATCTGGGTACTTAAAGAAAAACGTTTAGCCTTCTCTCTTCTCTTCCTTCTATCCACCCTCCCAAAATAATCTCACCTCTAAAATGGATTACTTCTAATATAATAATAATCCTTGCATTTGATATCACAATGTTGAGACGTCTCAAAGAGCTTCACAGAATATATTGTAAAGTTGATTGACTGTATTTTGTGTGCGAAACGTGTCAGCCAATTGATCACAGCAGTGTCCCACAAACAGTCGTGGACTGAGTGACCAATTTTTTTTGAGGGATTATTACACCCGGAAAGTGATCTGGCGATCGACTAACAAGGGGGTTCCTACTTTCTGCTAGGTAAACAGAAGCGTGTGGAGTAAGGAACTTGACTAAGATTTGCCCTCCTCTGCCTCCTCCCCTTCCCCCCCGTGTGTTCCCCGTCCCCACCCTCCCCCTGGGAATCGAAACCAGGTCCACTCGCTTGGTAGGCGAGTGTGCTAATAACTACTCTACAGTGCCTGGTTTGGTTGTCTTTGTGGTTTACTTATTCCAATCAGTAAGATCAATGCACAAGCTCAAATCCAGTAGGGATTGACTTGTTTGCTTTCAAATTTAGAGTGTAGTTTTTTTTAAACATTACATGAAAATATTTATTATCCAAGTAATCTCTTAAAACAACCTTTACTTATTATTAATTCATGGTGTGACCTTGCACAGCTCCAGTAAGCATCCTGTAGCTCCTGTTTCCTTGTGGATGTTTATGTTGCACAGTTGGAGTTGAATCATGCAGTTTTCACATTAAATTGATGGTTCATGTTCAGTGAATTTTGGCAGCATCAATTGTTTTTCCCCACTGTCAGACCAACCTACTACCACAATTTGTTTTTAGGAATTAATGGAAGAATGCATTGTTTCATAACACAATCAATACACACTCAGTAATTATTGAACGTGGCATTTTTTTTTACCCCAATGTCACATTTAAAATTTCCTGGGTGGATCATTGAATGAGCCTTAAACCAACCCTACTCAAATTATTTTAGTAACATTAGGACATTGAGGAGAATAGGAGAGAGTTTGCGAGAGCCTTGTCAGTATAAAGGCTGACATGAACTAGTTCATCCAAATGGCCTGTTTTTGCCCCACATTCAGTCTCTGATAAGAGTGAGTGAGACCAAGTTATGTAAAGCCAGTTTCCTGCTCTGAATCACTCTTGAATCATTTCTGGAATGCAGAAAGGGCACAAGACTCCAATGGTTTCCTACCTTCTTTGTTTCAAATCGGCTGCTTTTTTTTTGCTATGTTGCGTTAAGATGATTTAATTCTGCAGACTTTGCTATTTTTTTTCTCCCTCTATTGTATTTAATTATTGTACAACGTTGCCTGTTTGGGTTTTGCTCGCAGGGTTGAGGACATCTCAAAGTCAACAACAACTTTCATTTATATAGCACCCCTTCACACAGGGTAGAGTCCCAGAGTCGCATTGTTCAGCCTGACTGGTTGGTCAACCATCAATAATGCTCTTGGGCTACTGCACACAATATGGGAGCCATTTCAGCCCAAAGGAGACACTGAACATGCCTTATATTTTTCAAGGCCTGTTACTCATTTTATCAGCCTTTAACGAATTGAAGAATTTTGAAAGCAGAACCTTCCATTGCCAAGTCTTGTCCTATATTGATGGAAAGCTACCAAAGCTGTTTATACACTAGAATAACCTATTTTAGAAAAAAACAAAGACATTTGAGATTGTGCAATTTTTAATATCTGCAGTTTTTTATGTTTTTCTGCCAGTGAAGATGGCCAGTTAAGCACAATTCCTACCTGTCCTAAAGTGTGTAAACCATGATCCTTCCTTCAGGGTGAGCAGTGCTGCCAGGAAAGGGTTCTTGGATCAGGCTCTGTTCTTTGTTCATGCATTAGCTTCTCTAACACTTGGCTAATGTTAACTGTGTTTGCTTTTTTCCTCACTCGTGTATCAAGTTACCCTGCCATAATAGCTATCTTCATTAAAGGAATCCTTGTTGAGTGATACCTGACAAAGTTCAGAATAATCTACAAGTTAGCCCATCAGTTACCTCCTGGCTAGGCTTTAAAATAACAAAAGCCAATTTTAAAAAATCATAGCTCTTTTTAATCAAGTGAAAATTCACAAATTGTCATTTTCGAGTGGTTTCCTGCCCTGACGTTAGGTTAGAGATTCACTGCCCAAGCATTTGTGAAACTTACTCAGTACCTCAAGCTTAGGTATCTGCCTGGTTCAGTTGGTCGCACTCTTTCCTCTGAGTCAGAAGGCTGGGAGGTCAAGCTCCCCATTGGGATTTTGAACTCACAAGTTTCAGCTGACACTCCAGTACAAACCGGAGAGTGGCTGCAGTGTTAGAGGTACGGTCCTTACAATCAGATTTTAAATCAAGGTCCCGTCTGCTGTTCAAGTTGATGTTAAGGATCCCATGGCACCGTTAGAGAAGGGAGTTTCTTCCAGGGTCATGGTCAAGAATCCCCCAAATACAATTAGTCATTAACTTCATGGCTGCTTCTGTGACATTGTCATGCTCAAATTGGCTGCTGCATTCACAGTCACTACACTTAACAGTAAAAGTCTGTGAAGTGCTTTGAGACATCTCAACGAAGTGATAAGGCACTGTGTTAAATGCAAGGATTATTAAAACTTGTGCACCCTTTCTGGTGGAACTTGACTGATCTTTGTCTCCCTCACCCAGGCGCTACTTAAATGCAAATGTAACAACATAATTGATTTTAATATTTTTCTCTCTCAAATTCTCTCCTTGCCTAAGGGTGTTTTTTTTGTTCCTTCTGCGCGTGCTGGGAATCCTTGTCTAGATGTCTTATAGAGGATGTCATTATAAAGTGGTAAATGCGGTTCGTAAAATCCAAACCGGCTTCATAATGAGATATAACACTTGCAGTTCAGGAAGTGATGTTGGCAGCAACCCAGTAACCTAGAAGTGTGGTATTTTATGTGAGGGCCGGCCCGCACACAGGAAGAAGGCTCACCAGAAGCGCAAATGTGCAGTGAATGGGGTTCATACCCCATTTGTGTTACAAACCCACCAGCGCTATAAGGACACCAGCACTGTGTTATCATGAGATACACTGTATTATTTATTAATACTGTGCTATCAGGCTGTTTGACTGCATCAAAAATAACAACAAAATGACATTTATAGAGCGCCTTTCATGTCGGGAGGACGTCCCAAAGCGCTGGACAGTCAGGGGACAGGACCCAAGCATGGGGGAGGGGGAGGGAAGGCAGAGAGGTGGGAGGGTGACTGAAGGCAGAGGAGAGGTAGGAGGGGGCAAGACCATGGATGGTCTTGAAAGTGAGGACGAGGATCTTGAATTCGATCTTTTGAGGGATGGGGAGCCAGTGGGGTTGGGTGAGGGTGGAAGTGATGGGGTCACGGAGCCTGGTGAGCGAGAGTATATGAGCTGCAGAGTTTTGGATGATCTGCAGCTTGGGAAGGGAAGAGTTGGGAAGGCCGATGAGGAGGGAGTTTCCATAATCGAGCATTGATGTGGCGAATCCATGGGTGAGGGATTCGGCAGCTTGAGGGGTGAGGCAGTGGCGGAGTCTGACAATGTTGCGGAGGTGGTGGTAGGTAGTGCTGGTCATGGTGCGGATGTGGGGGAGGTTTAGATTTCTGCCGTATGATTCCATCAGTACATCACAGACAAGTATGAAATGACCTCAATCGTAGCCCCTCGAAGTCCATGAGCGTGCACCAAGGATCACTAGATAAGGATCAAGAATAGAAATATTGGCTGATTTGTTTTTCCTTTCTCTCCTCTCACTCTGAGGTTCATTGTATCACTCCCAATTGCTACAGATGTCATTGAAGTCAGCACAGACTGCGATTCAAACATACAGTCTACTGATCTGTATGACCAGTCGGCTATCACAGAATTTTTTAAAACATCAAAATAAGCAATTTAGACATCGTACCTATGACAGTTTTCTGAAAGAGCTAAGTGTTTAGTGTCCCCCTCCCCTCCCATTTCCCCCTATCGTTTCTTATTTTTTCTGCTGAATTCCCTTTGATAAACGATTACAGATGCTGCTTCAACCACCCTTTTTGGTAGGCTACTGTGTCCAAATAAACTGTGTTAATAGTGTGTGTGTATTCTCCTAATCTTTCCTGTTGACTCACTGACCAGGATCTTATTGACATGTGTTAAATGGGGGGGAAACAATCCACACTTCTTAAAGGGAGGGGGCAATCATCATTGGATCAGCAGTAGTTTGTTGAGTGTGATGATCTTCTTCATCTGATATGTGCCTGAAGAAGGGCAAACATAAACAGCTAGCAGCCTGACACACACACACACACACACATGTGAGGCTCCACCACCGTTAAACTGCCCCACGTGAAGGGCACTATATAAATGCAAGTTGTTGTTGATTTCTTCCAGTCACTAACGTCCATCAACACTTATTTTGCTATTAAATCAAATAGCATTTTGTGTTTGCCCTCATTTTGGACAATTAGTAATGAATCTTTTGGGGTGGGGTGGTGGCAGGAGACAAATGTGTATTGAGTTAGAAATGTTCAACATTTTAGTAACCTAGATTCAACAGAGATGTTGTCAAATGCATGTGGTGCATTTGTATTGGTAAATTATCAGATCTTTTCATCAGATCACACTTGTTCTTTTTCACATCCTGGAAGAAGTGAAACCCATTCTACTTTTCTTTAATGTACAGGTTATGAGCAGCCGATTTCTGCCGTATGATTCCATCAGTACAGATGCAATACTTAGCCTTGATGAAGACACGGTTCTTTCTACCACCGAGGTAAGGATTTCTATTCAAATACTGACTATGCTACAAAATAAATTAACAACACTATTTTGGTAATGGACAATGTGTTCTTAAAAAGCTGTACTGCAGACAATGTGCACTGGGACTGTTTTAAAATTCAAACAACAACAAATTTACATTTATGTAGTGTCACTCACATCCGGAAGACATACCAAGGTGTTGGACAGTCCAGGGTTTGCACCCGATAGACGCTCTGAGATACCGTCTGCCGTGAAGGGTGCTATATAAATGCAATTTGTTGTTGTTGATCTGGGGTCAATAGCAACAACTTGTTGGTCTAGGCCAAGGAGAGGGAAGGAAAGATGAACATGGGCGCATTCAATTAGGAAGTTCTTAAGGTGGACCTTAAAGGAATGGTTTGAAATCTTTTGGAGGAATATTCATTTCTTCCATCTCTGTAGACCCTCCAGTTTTCTCATCAGTGAAAGTGCTAACTCATGTTGAGGTCTAGCTTCTCTGGACGTTGGCCCCTTTTACTTTATTCAAGTGCTCTTTCATCGAGTCCGCCTGGACAATCCGCCTTTCTCACCCAATATCCAAACACCATACATACGCACAACAGTGACTTATATTTATATCAGGCCTTTTTGTGCAAAAAGAATTCTCGTGAAGCAAAAATGAGATTCATTAAGATAATGTTATGGAGACGAATGCAGCAGCTGATTGATGCCATGAACATCCGACAAACAATAGATGAGAAGCCAATTAAATATGGGGTGAATTTGGATGAGGAGGGAACATAACAGGCTAATCTGGAGGAAAACACATGTTTTTTTGACATTGTGGCAGGGTATGGGATTGGGGAGGCCACTGAATAGAAATGACTAGGAAGGCTGGCTTATTTTACTCTCGACTATTACCAAGGCACGAAAGCCAATTATAGCATCCCAACTGCTGGTTGAGCTGAGATCTGCCAATTCAGCACAGACGGGGATCAACCTGGTATTCGAGGTCTGTGTGGTTCAAAATCACTTCATTAGCTTCACTCACTGAGCCCTGCAGGGGATGGGAAGAGAGAGAAAGGGAGTCCCTGGAGTTTTGTTTTTAATTCATCCTCTTGTTCATAGTCCCGAACTCATAGTGAAATAAATGGCTATGCCTGTGTTGTTCATTATTTGGAGAGGGAAAACAATTAACTTATTTGCTAGAATTTGCATTTTAGTGACTATAATACAGTAGTTTGTATAAATTTATATAGTGGGTGGAAGGAAAACGAGTCTGGCAGGGTAGGGGACGTGATGGGTTGGCTGAAGGATAAAACACATACTGCATTGCTGCCAATGCTTAGACATTGGTTGTAAATTTCACATATGAGGGATCTTATCCTCTCTAGAACAAAGCTACTGATTCAACAATTGTCACGTTGAGAGACAGGGTCTTTGTGAAAATTGTAATTTTTTTATTTTAGTTTTGTTGGTAAATGTATTTTGGTGGCTGCCTTGCTCTTATTACTGCACATTGAACCTCAGAAGTTGATTTTATTTAAGGAAACTGCAATGGACCTTAGATATCTAATTCCATTAATTTCTCATCTTGTTTCCCTCCAAGCTATTTCAGTTAATCCGGAGAACTACATTCTCCAATTGCACAGGGATAAAGAAAGGAAAACTGATTCTCCATTTAGTACAAACTGCTGCTTTTAGGTGCTTTAAGAAGAAGAAAGATTGACCTAGATTGCTTGATTCCTTTAGCTCTTTGCTATTTACAATTGAATTTGGAGCAGCAACAGAAGTGAGCTAGAAAAAGGCAGCAAGAATCAGTGGAGGGTGGGCTGGGGACTCCAAAAATGATTCTGAACTCCATTCGGCTAGGCGGATTCACTCCATTCAGGAAAATTAGTCCTCAGTTTCTGGTAGATGAGTAATAATAATAATAATAATAATCCTTGCAATTGATATAGCGCTTTTCACGTCGGGAGGACGTCCCAAAGCGCTTCACAGAACACACTGTAAAGTGAATTGACTGTATATTTGTGGGCAAACGCGGCAGCCAATTGCGCACAGCAATGTCCCACAAACAGTCATAGATTAAAAATGACCAATTTATTATTGTTTTGGGTTTTGGAGGGATTATTATTAGGCGTGTGGAGTAAGGAAACTTGCCCAAGGTTTCGCCCTCTGCCTGGAATTGAACTCAGGTCTCTCGCTTGCAAAGTGAACCTGAGTTTTTGCCTTATTGTGAAAACTGCTTATGAGGAAAAGTTAATGTCTTACATTGAAGAGCTAATTCACTGTTATTACATTGTGATGAAATCTGTACCAAAAGGATACTTTGCAAAAGTCTACTTTAGTGAGGTCAACAAATCCCTCTCCAATAAAAAAAACATTTGAATTTAATTCTGTCTTGATGTCTCCAGCTAATTACAGTAATCAATTATTGGATTACAGGAGCCATTTTATCCCTCTGTAACAATTAGATGATAAAATCCATTAATCCATAATCTTTCCTTATTGTAATTATAGTGAGTATATTAGCAAGGTCGCTGTGAAGATAACTCATTTGAGTGACGCTAGGGAGACAGTGGAAGCAGAAAATGTTGTTTGTTTCAAGAACAAATTAAATAGATTTCTGTAGAAACTAATATCTCAGGACACAGTATATAATTTGGGGCACGACACGTTAAGCGACTTGCAGGATGGTTGAAGGCAAACTAGATGGACTTGGTCTTCTTTTGCCTAGCAAATTCTTATGTTCTTATTGTGTAGATTCGGGTTCAAGAGTGCGAGGGATACTGTAAATAATAATAATATTTTGTTGCTAATCATTACATTTATATATTACCACTTGTTTTGTGTTGTACAGGAATCAGCCGTTTTGATCAGTTGACCTTAAATTATCTTTGCTGGTTGTTTCCTGCTCAATAATGAAATCGTAGGATCTCATTCTTCTTTGTTTATGTTGCTGCTGCTTAAATTCTATGACAACTATCTATTAGGAGTGGACTTGCCCATTCTGTATGTTTTAGTTCAATTACAGTGAACAAATTGAAGTAATCTTAATTCCAAACTGCTGAAACTTTCAATTTTTTTTTACCTGTGCTCATTCTTTTTCCTTCCTCTCTCATCCTCGGTTTCAAATCTTTTGTATTTTTTCCATCTCTAACAATTATTTTGGCATGTGCTTTTTTTAAAAACAGGTTTCTCATTGGCTGCAAACAGTGAATGAGAAGCCCAGTGATTAATGATTGACGTGGTCACCTCATAGTTATATACACAAAATTCACTCGCACTATTAACCTGACATGGAGTCATTATGTTGATCGATTTCTAGCATAGCTATCTGTTGCAACTTTATCTTTTATGAAATAATATTGTAGAATTGTTGAGCACAACAGTCTACAAGAATTGCCTGCTTTGGACATGCGATGAGGTGGCAAAGTCGGGCATGCTTCATTTGAGAATAGAAATGACCTTGCCTTTCTTTCACTTTGGTTTTGAAGGTGGATTTTGCCTTCACGGTGTGGCAGAGCTTCCCTGAAAGAATCGTGGGATACCCAGCTCGCAGTCACTTCTGGGACAGCACGAAAGAGCGATGGGGATACACGTCTAAATGGACAAATGACTACTCCATGGTCCTGACAGGAGCTGCTATCTACCACAGGTACGATCTTCAGCATTTACAAAGACTGTCCAGCACGGAAACAGACCATTCAGCCCAATCAGTCTGTGTTGGTATTGAGCTCCACCCACTCTTTACTGCCTCTCATACCCTTCTCTTCCCCTCTCCCTCATGTGAAGGTTTAGCTTCTTCCTGAATGCATCGAGTTATCTGATTTAATCACTGCTTCATGCAGTTCCACAATGTCACTATTTTTTGCGTGATGTAGTTCTTGCTAAATTCTCTTTTAGATCTCCTAGTCATTATCTTATACTTGTGTTCCCTGGAGATGAACTCCCCAACTCCCCAGTGGAACAGCCTATATATGTTAAACAAAATACTGCAGATGCTGAAATATGAAAACAAAAACAGAAGTCGCTGGGAACACTCAGCAGGTCAGGCAGCATCTATGGAAAAAAGGAAAGTGAGTCAACGTTTCGGCTCTGATGAAGGGTCAAGGTTGACTCACTTTCCTTTATCCATAGATGCTGCCTGACCTGCTGAGTGTTCCCAGTGACTTCTGTTTTTGTTCTCAGCCTATGTATGTTAACCTTGTAATTTTAAACACATCTAATAGATCCCCGCTTACACGTCTCTAGCGATAGAAGGCCTAACCTATCCAGGCTGACCTGATAGCAGTAACCTGCCAGCTCTGGTATCATTCTAGTAAAACCTACGCTGTACTCTTTCCATCACTGTTCTATCCTTCTTATAGTATGGAGACCAGAAATGGACATAAAATACTTTAAATGTGGCCGAACCAAGGTTTTGTACAAATTCAAAATCACCTCCTCACTTTTATATTCATTTGTATAGTGTTCTTCCTTAACCCATTCCCCCCTCCTCTTCCTTTTCCTAGATTGGTTTCTTTTCAGCGCCTGGGCACATCCTCCCAACGTGAAAGACGCTATACATATGTAATTTGTTGTTTGTTGTTGATTGTACCCTCCCTAACCTCGTGGTGCTGAGACCAATAGTATCGGCTGCTGGGACGGCTGAGATTTGCTAACTCAGCACAAACCTGGAACCTGCTGGTCTATATGCCTTGCTGAGTTGTGTGTTTATTCTCTGGGTCATCGGGGGAGCTTTATGTCAGGGTTAACTAAACATTGTGAAGCCTCCTTGTCTATGGAGCTGTGCTGGAGATGAATAGTTTATTGTAATTGGGCAGCATCGGTCTGCTTTTCTTCAGCTCTGCGTTGCTTCAATCTGCCTGGGGGTATCTGACTTTGATTCAGCATTACATTGATGCTTTGGATCGAATGTCATGCCCATGTCTCTCTCATTGTGTAGGAGTGGGAATTCAAGGAAAGTTATGAATAGTGAGGTGCTCTTTGCTAAATGTTAAATGTAAAAAAGAGGTTTAAAAATTAAACCAAATGACTTGAGGAGTCAAGTTACAATCCTTCAGAAATGGAAATTTTTTGAAATCCTGATTTAATTGTGAAACTGTAGACGAGAGTAGGAAATGATTATCATTTGTTTTGTGTGCACCTGTGAATGGTGATCTGAAATAATATGCCCCATAACACTGATACTTGTTTTTTGGGTATTTTAATTCCTGCATTTTAAATATATACTCTGAAATCATTAGAATTCCTGACAATATTTGTTTTTGCATTCTCCTTTATTAACTTTATTTTCTCTCCTTTGTCTATTTACTGGAGTATTCCTGACCTGTTCTCATCAGTGCAGGTGAAGCTGCTTCCTGAGCACTATAGCTGATCTGCATTTTGCCAGTTTATCTTGACTTTATTACAGCCAGATTATTAATGTGCTTTTAATAATAATGCTTACATTTGGTGTAATAATAATAATCCTTGCATTTGATATAGCGCTTTTCACGTCGGGAGGACGTCCCAAAGCGCTTCACAGAATAGACTGTAAAGTGAATTGACTGTATATTTGTGGGCGAACGCGGCAGCCAATTGCGCACAGCAATGTCCCACAAACAGTCGTAGATTGAAAATGACCAATTTATTATTGTTTTTGTTTTGGAGGGATTATTATTAGGCTCTGTGTGGAGTAAGGAAACTTGCCCAAGGTTTCGCCCTGACCTGCCTGGAATTGAACTCAGGTCTCTCACTTGCAAAGCGAGTGCTCTAACCACTGAGCTACAGGACTTTCAAATAACTGAAATTATCAAGCTTTCAAGAGTGTAGCGCATTCTTACATCTTCGAGATGTCTCAAAGCGTTTCACAGAATATACTGTAAAATGAATTGACTGTATTTTGTGGGTGAAACTCCAGACAATTGCACACAGCAGTGTCCCACAAACAGTCATGAATTGAGTGACCAAATTATTATTAATGTATTATTTTGATTGAGATGCAGGAATCCAAAATATCAGGTTGATGGTTGCGACCTATTTTTTTTTGAAAAGTGAATGAATAAGAATCATGTGGATAGTAAGAGCCTCTGATCAGATGAATACATTTGGATGTGTTTTGTGTTGCAGGTATTACCATTACCTGTATACTCATTACCTGCCAGCCAACCTAAAGAACATGGTGGACCAACTGGCCAACTGTGAAGACATCCTAATGAACTTCCTTGTATCAGCTGTCACCAAACTGCCCCCTATTAAAGTCACTCAGAAAAAGCAGTATAAGGAGACGATGATGCAACAGGTAAGTGTTGATTTTGCTTTGTGAATTTTATGTATTGTAGAAGACTGCAGGAGTCCTGGTGGTCAAATTATATGAGATGCGTATTATTTGCCTGGTTATTCTCCTGGAAGCAATGCAACATCTCTTCCAGCAGAAGAATGATTTGGGACGAAACATTGGACTTCGATCTCCCCCAGTGTTGTACACGAGTTGACATGTTTCCCAGGTTTCACAGCTGGCCGTCATTTTCAATGTTGGTCAAGAACTGGATGTTTAAGGTCTCTTACGATGTTAAATGTTCCTGACCAATTGGAGTGGTCACGAATGTTTATAACAACAACTTACAATCATATAGCACCCCATTCGCAGAGTAGTGTCCCAGAGAGCTCAAGAGATAATTTTAAAGCAGAAAGCCAGGTCAATTTGTGCAGCCTGAGTCTGAATTGTTGTCTTGGTGAGAAATTAGCACTTTGATCTTTGGCAATCCAGCACGTCTCAACGGATTTGTGCTGTTATTCCTATGACAAATTTCCCCAAATTTCATGGAGTGTCTACACTCACCTGATCTTAGACAAAAAGACCACAGAAGCGAGACAACACGCGGTATAAACAAGACATTAAGTTGAAAAGTTTGAAATAGCAAATGAGTTGTCATATTGCCAGCTGCAAGTGATATTTGGGACAGTGCATTGAGCCCAAGTTCAGCTTTTAAATAAACTGTTTTGTGATCTTCATGGTGTATTTGCACTATGCCATTGCAAAATAGTTTTGTAAAAAAAAATCATGGGCCTGTATAAGTGAGCTTTGTGTTTCTTAACATGTCTTATTGAACAACTGCCACTGAAGAAAAATAGGTACATTTTGTGTTTCAGATCTAGCTGCAGAAACTTATTGAATATAAATAGCCTCCTAGTCTCCAGTGATTCTCCTTATCCAATATGTTCTGTTCAAGTGGCTTCAGAAACCAGGCTTCAAAGCAATTCCCTTCCATATTATACTGCTTCCCCTGATTTAGTGCAGTGAGTCGTGTGCAGTGTAAGCCAGGCTTCATTTTGAGGCTCTGCTTCATTAATCACATCTGAATTCACACAGTCAGAAGTGCTCATGCATTTTATGTTCATAGTTTTATTAACATGTCAAATAACTGAAAAGTTGTGTTATAAGCTACGAAACGTGACACAATAATAAATAAATCTCAGCCTTTTAAAAAAAATCCTAGTGTGCATGAGGTTGGTACAGGTCATAGGTGTGTGTTGCGGTTGAATACGTGAAGTTCTTATCACAGTATCCTATTTAATGGGCAGATAGATCTTCCTGTTCCATTAAATGGTGATTGATCTTTTACATTGCAGTCCTCCAGGGCTTCCCGGTGGGCTGATCCGGACCATTTTGCTCAGCGCCAAACCTGCATGAACACGTTTGCAGGATGGTTTGGAAGCATGCCTTTGATCCACTCCCAGATGAGACTGGACCCAGTTCTCTTCAAAGATCAGGTCTCGATACTGAGGAAGAAATATCGAGACATCGAGCGACTCTAATGAGCACTACGAGGCACAAAGCCATTGGCTTTTGGGCAGCATCCAAATAAAGCCAGACTGCAGGATGTTTGTCAACCCGGAGTTCAGGAAATAACGCTGTGCATTTGATGACTCTTGGCTCCTATCCGTTGATGCACAAGACTCCCAAGAGCTTCAGCAAGGTGGCTGGTATCAGCCTATTGACAGGATGTATATGTACTGTGTGACCATTAGAATTAACATGTATTTTGTCATAATATCAATCCAGAGTGGCAGGTCTGATATTCTGCCACGAGGAATACAAATTGCTCTAAATCAGTGAATGAAAAACCTGAAGATCAATGAATTCTTTTTCCATCGACACTGTTAGCACTGTGAAGAACAAAGTGAAACACTATCCAATGATCAGAATTGAGTGTCTTAAATTTGGCCTGCACATGATTTTAAGGCCAACTTGCACCACGTAATTTAGCTGGAGTTTGCATGCAGGAGAAGTGAGTGGTGTTTAGAGTGAGCAGCCACCAGGATTCGTATAGGAAGAGAGAACGAGAGCTGTCGTTTCACCAGTGTTGTCTGCTATGTTTACTATTAGCATGCAAAAGAATAAAAACACACACATTTGCACCCACTACAGAAGAAACCATGTGTGTAGGAACTGTGCAAATAAGCAGCTGAGAAGGGGTGGGGGAAGTCTGGCACTGCTGCACAGTTGTGAATAGCCTGTTGAAATCCACGCACATACCTGCATGTTAATATGCCTTACAGATGATTTGCTGTATGGCTTTACTGGATCACTGGGCTGACCTTTGGAAATAAAATGTTGGCTGTGTGTATTTTAAACTGAATGGCACATATGGTGCTCAGACAAGGGGGTAGCTCCTTGTTTCTATATAAAGTTCTATTTTTTAAACGCAGGGGCTATGTTAGTCTTTGCTCACAGGTACTTGAATGTCTGAAGACTTGAAGGAGTGCTGAGCGTGTGGCCTTTTTTAATCACTTTATTTTGGTTAATAATGGTTCAGCCTAGTTTTTATATCTAATTCTTTTATTTTAAATAGAAACCCCCAGTTCATCTCACTTGCAGAATCTCTCCGATCAATGTCTAGTCATAATTAAGGATGTGAAAAATGGGCCTTGTTATAATGTACATAATCTTGTATATTTATTATTTTGACAGAATTGTGTATAGTGTATGGTTACAAACTGATCGACAAAGCAATGATGGGATACTTGGATGGTTTAAACTGTAAAGCAAAACAAAAAATATTTTGTATAAGATGTACATTTCTGAAGTTTTTCTAACAAATTGCCAATGTTTTTTCATAGTGTACCATTGCTTTATAAAAGATTTCCCAAGTGGTTAGAATGGCATGACTACATAGTGGACTGAAACCTGCAGAGAAGGGGAGAGAATACAAAGCCATATATTGTGATTCACTGCATTAGCTAGCAAAAGGTATAGCTCCATCATCAAACATAGCCTCCATAGGTAGTATCACCAAAGACCTTTCATCTGATCTGTTGCTTTCTAATAATTTAACTGTATTTTTAGAGCCATTTGCAAGTTCAGTATATCTGTACAACTGAACACAAAGGTCATGGAATGATTTTTTGTGTTTTTCACTACACTTTGTATGTCTTTTGCTGCTTTGTGTTTTTGATTCCTTTTTGTTGTAACTTGGGAGAGCTTACCTTTGGCAACCATTTTTGTATACGTTTACACATGTATGTCTTTATGTAGTTGTGTGACATGGTTGTGGTTGGTTCTGGTGAAAGGATTTACATGGCGGCCAGACTGCTGTTACTCCAGAACTATTGTGGCTTCAGCTTTCCCTTCCCAAAACAGCTTCCTGACCGTTTATTGATTGAATTCATAGATTTTGAATGAACTGAATATGGGGGGTGTTGTACGGGACTGATTTAGTAATGGGGCTATCGGCGCAAGGATTACTGCAATAAAATTTAACACTTAGAATTGACTGGAAGGCGGTGTTGCAAGAAAGTAGCAGACTTGAGGAGCTCTTCATTTAAACACAGAAAAGGTGAAGCAAATTTGGGGAGTGGAGAGAGAGGAGTTAAGGCCCCCAGATTGCTACTTTGAATTCACTGTTTTAAAAGTAACATTTTGATTTAATTTGCGGAAACATTAAATTCCCGGTGATTTACCTTATTCAGAGTTGATGGACGTGAGCATGAGCTATTTCTTCATACAACTGGCAGAAGGTTGTTGCCTTGTACATATCAAAAATCATTTTTAAAAATCTGTGAAATTGCAGGAATTCAGACATGTGAAAACTGCTGATTTTTTAAAAAGTAGAAAACAATCAATGTACAATTTTTAATTTTTTTTGCTTTAGGCAAAAATACTGGAATTACAGTATGGATTCAATCCAGATGAACCTTTGGAAATGTTTCTGTTCTTGTGTTTTAGAAGTGAAGAAATTGATCAGGTTACCCACTTAATGAAAGAAAGACGTGCATTTTTTTATAGTGCCTATAATGTCAAAACATTTCAGAGCTTCAGTGTAATTACTGTCCGGTGTACTGCCTTTTTTAATGTAGACAAAATGAGTGCAATCTGCCAAGCTTTAATTTTTTTTAAATAAAATGCATTTATAATTTTTTAAAACAAAAAATAAATCCACAGGCAACTTGATGCATTCCTACGATCATTATTGTGTGACTGCAGTTATTTGAGTTTAGAGAAACCCACTGTGTAAGTGTCAGTTGTTTTTTTTAAGACTGGAGAAATACAATCCAGGAATTTACACACAAGCCAGAACCTCATTCATAGAAAGCTGGAACTACAGGTCTCTGGAACAACGCCAGTCACGTTAAAGACCTCCACAGCATGTGACGTACTGTCCTGTGTAAACCGTGAACCAGCGCCACTGTGTTTTCAAGTCTTACCTGGAAGCAGAAAGGGTTGTACTGGGGAGATTCAGAATGTCGTATATTTATCTCTTCCCAATGACAGGTCCTTTTGCTTCAGGAACACTGGAATAATTACTGGATGATTATTGACATTCCTGGGAGGTGTTTGTTTTTTCTAATCCTGAGGGCACAGATTCTGCTCCTGCATCTTTCTTTATGCTTAATGCTTTGCCTATTTATAATGAGACCGTTCCACACAGAAGTATTCCATTAGCCGTTTATGCCCACACGCATCCCAAGTTTCTGCCTCTGTAATTAGTATTATGTTGGTTCACTTTTATAGGTATAAATGATTTTAAAAAAATAGAAAATAAAGGCAATTTTGTAAGATTTGGTTTTTAAAAATAAATGATATTTGATAATACATTGCACTTTGTTTTTTTTAATGAGAGCTTTCTTATTGTCTCACTTTGCAGTGATCATTTTGTTACAATTTGTTCTGCCCCAATAACCACAACTGCTTTTATGTACATTTTCAATCTCTGGTTGATGTTCAAATGACGCACGATAAAATAAAACGGCTATGAATACAAATAGCATGTCTGGACCCTTAAGGGCTCGGGGTAAAGACACTGTTGGAAAGGAATTCCACTTGGGTCTATATTTACAGCTTAAAAATGAAGAATTTGTTAAATTCAGGACATCCTGTGGAGTCCCATAGCTTAGTGTTTGTGAGAGAACCCAGGTCCTCTTGCAAGCAAGAGGGCCTGGGTTGATTCCTGGGCAGAGGGAAATGTTAGACATGTTTTTTGACTTCACACGCCTCTGTTTTCCTAGCAGTGAGTAGGAACCCTGTTAATTGATTCGCAGATCACTTTTCCGCTGGTAATAATCCCTTAAAAAAAAACTTGCTCACTCAATCCACAATGATTTGTGGGACACTGCTGTGCACAATTGGCTGCTACGTTTCGCCCACAAAATATACAGTCAATTCACTTTACAATATATTCTGTGAAGCGCTATGAGACGTCTCGAAGATGTGATAAGGCGCAAGAATTATTATTATCCTGAAATGTTACATCAATAGAATAAATCTTCCTTTGGTAACGGAATGGAATTTCTTCCTTTGGTGCCCTGAGCCTTAGGGGACATTCGAATATAATTTCTGATGGCTGTGTTCAATTGAGCAAGCCAGGACAAGTGAGGTCACAGTGTAACCCTGCAATACGTGCTCAACCTTATGGACATATTACAGGTGTGAGCAGATGAATTATGCTGGTGAGTCCATATTGGGTGGGTGGGGTGTGGTGAAATATGTTTTTCACAACTGGATTCAAAAAGAATTCGGAGATATTGAATCTTGCAGTAAATGCTCTAATACAATCTCAGAGGGGAGTCCTAGAGCACAGTTCGATGAGCTGCACATTCACTTGCTGCAAATTTCAATACTTACAAGTTCTCATTGAAATATCTGACTCCATATGTAATTTCAATGCATTTTGATTTCTAGGGCTCTTAAATCAACACTAGTTGTTAACCTACAGGATGCAGAGCATTACTCCAGCCCTGAATCACCATTTGGAAAGCCTGCCGAAGGTCATATTTTTAGATTTTTCATGCTGAAACGAGTGGAGATTATGCAACAATGGAATTATTACTCAGTTAAATTGTCTGAATATAAAGTAAAACTGCTTGAAATGAGCTTTGTTTGGCCGTCTGGGTATCTGGCAAAAACCCATCACCATGTTTAAGAATCTCCTACCCAAACCACTGAAATCTTGGTTTGGTCCTGAGGAACCCATCCTGCTTACCTAATTCTGGAGGGTTTAGGAGCAAAATATTCATTAATACACAAAACACAAATTACTGCAGATCCTGGAAATCTGAAACAAAAACAGAAGTTGCTGGGAACACTCAGCAGGTCAGGCAGCATCTATGGAGAAAGGAAAGTGAGTCAATGTTTCGGGTCCACGAATCCTTCGTCAGTTTTTGCATGCTCGTCCAACCAGGACCCCCCCCCTGCCATTAAGTCTTTCACTTTCAGAAATTGGAGGAGCCGAGTGGGAAGAATCCCAGCTCCTAGTGAATGGTCTGTTCCTCCCAGTCTTGCTAATGAGCATTTTGCATTTTGCTCTGCCAACATCAATGACGAGGAGTGAGTGGACCTGCCTGGCTCACAAGCTGCACATTCAGTAGAACTATACAAAAACAAGAACCCATCCTGCTTACCTAATTCTGGAGGGTTTAGGAGCAAAATATTAATTAATACACAAAACACAAATTACTGCAGATCCTGGAAATCTGAAACAAAAACAGAAGTCGCTGGGAACACTCCGCAGGTCAGGCAGCATCTATTGATGGAACTCTCCATCTGTGCTCAGCTTTCCCTTACTATAACGTTGCTCGCCTCTGCCACTATAGCATCCAAATAGGCCTTTTGACCATAAGACATAGGAGCAGGAGTTTCTTTTAGATCTGCTTATGGGGCACCTTGTATTGATGTCGCCTTGAATTGGACTCTCGATATGATCCTTGTTTAGGAGTCTGATCACTTATTTAATAATAGCATGAAGTTCTCATTGAAATTTGCTGGCATTCACATTATTTACTACTTTCTTTGAGGGTAATTTCTCAGCATTTCTGTAGCTCTTTTTCCTCTTTTTTTCTCTCTGCTCCATAAGCAGCTTTAGAACTTGTACATAACTGAAAAGACAGTATTGATGCTATTCTGTTGAAAGTACAACATCCTGCCACAGATCAGGGGATGAATACACAAGTAGCCAGACTCAATTTAAAGGTCATAATTGATGACTGGATTTCTTCCATTTGGATAAAAAAAAGTGTCCTTGTATTACAACTGCTGCCAATGTGCTGTCCATCCAGCTCATTCCTTCCGCTGCTACCCTCCCCCTTTCCAATGGTTCATTAAGGCGCATTTACAATGAGTTTATAGACTTGTGTACAATGGGCTGGTTACCCAAGAGAACTGAAAACACTCAAAAAAAACAGAAGCCTATGCAGATAAAATGCTGATTAACCTAGTGCAATCGAACATTTGGAATTTTGTGTTTGATATTCTGGATTTGAATTTTGTTGTATTTTGTTTTAAAAATTCATAGTGTGTTCAAAGTCTCATGGTTCCTGGAAGATTTACTACTGAAATAATTTCCTTATGCCAATTCCCACAGCTGCTCACCAATGAACTTTCCAGTCACTGAAAATCTCTATGTGGTGAGTCAGTGCTGCCATGTATGACTAGTATTGGAATTAATGTTAACCTTTAGGATAAAGAAACAGTAAAAGTAGAAATAAAAACAAACTGTTTCAGGCTTGACAGTCATGAGAATTCCAGGGATTGGGCTAACAGTCTAGGTTAACACTCCAGGACAGTGCTGGGGAAGCACTTCCTTCATTGTCAGAGGTGCCACCTCTTTGGATGAGAGGTTAAACTGTTCAGGTGGATGCTAAAGATCCCATGGCACAGTTTGTAAAGGGAGTTTCTCCCAGTGTCCTGGCCAACAGATAAAATTGGCATTCATCTCCTGGTTGTTTGTGGAAGATTAATGTGCACAAAATTGGCTGCTGCATTCGCATACAATATACACGGTCATTAGAGCTTGCAGTAAAATTCTGTGCAGCAGTTTGAGGCATTTTGATTGCATGATATGGTGCTCTGTCAAATACAAAGAGTAGGATTTCTATTGGGTTGGAGATGTCCCTTTGCAGAATTCATGAGGGCCATAAGAAGCAGACTAACGCCACCTTTACCCTCTGATTCTGAAGATTTATTAGTGCGCCCATTTTTGCACCACCTCTGCAGGATTGCTTGCGGTAATAATAATAATAATAATAATCCTTGCATTTGATATAGCGCTTTTCACGTCGGGAGGACGTCCCAAAGCACTTCACAGAACACACTGTAAAGTGAATTGACTGTATATAAAATGGCATTTTGCTCATGTGTGAAAGTTTAATGTCATTATGTTACCTTCACAACAACATTGTAGGTTCTTGAGCATCTGCAAATCCATTCTAAATCTACTTACGCTCCCGCAATATCAGCAATGGAGACAAGGAAAGGAGTCTGGGTGTTGGGCAATGCTGCACTGGGCCTGTGTCCCGGTTGCACCGCAGTATCTTCAGGCACAAAAGGTATGTATAGTGGATTGACAGTCAGTGCTGTTCTAGACCTTGTTTCCCTTCAAGTGTGGTTCCCTCCAGGTTCACAGAGTAAGAGGGTACGTGTGAAGCAAAGCCCGTCCAGAACCAGGATTTCACGAAAGTAAACAACAACAACTTGCATTTATATAGCGCCCCACAAGCAGGGTTGCGCCTCGGAGCACTTGAAAAAGGGTAGAGCGAGAGGCAGGACCTGCCATGTTTCATTGTCAGTTACTGTCGCTGTGCAGCCTACAACAGGAGAAAGGAAGATATAGGAGAAAGAAAGCTACAGGCGTATGGGGAAAGGGCTGGGAAATGGGCCTGAAAGGATTGATCTTAAAAGAGCCGGCACCGACACAATGGACCGAATGGCCACCTTCTGCGCTGCAATTTTCTACTGTTCTAACATGTGTGAACCTAGCCCAGCACCTCTTACAATAAAGTCAATCTGTTCTTACGTGAACCGCAAACTTTATCTTAAAGAAAACAATGGCTTTATTCCCAGACGATTGCCGTCACTGCATTCCAGAGTGTTCAGGTCATCCTCCTGGAGCCCAGTGCAGACATGTAGCTCAAACTCTGAGATCACGTGAATAACCCTGAAGTATATCCTTTTGCACACTTTAAATGGAACCTTAAGCTTTGTGTTTCTGGCAGCAATATATATTCCATCACCTTTCATGTGACCTTTATTAATATTTTCTCCCTCCAAATTTCTTGTCTCCTTAGGCAGTGATTGTTCCTAGGGTTTCATTCCTGTACTCCCTCACCTCAGTGACCATTCATTGTAGAAGTGTATACGAGCAAGGTGGAGAGGGAAGAATTTGAACTGTGTTTGATCTTGTCCCTGACTAGATAGTGATCGAGCAGGAGTACTGGCTGATTAGCCTTTCTCGAACCCAAGAGAACTGAGGCCAAATCTATTGCCTCCCGGCCTGACATTAACTGATTCGACAAAGACCAGTATCATGTCTAAGACCTTTCTTGTCAATGTGACTCAGTTTCACCCTGGATAGAAACTTTACCAATCAGGGGAGCTTAAACGTAAAAAACAAGTACCATCATTTGTAATAAGTGACATCTTTCAGCAGTTGACAGTATGGAAATTGGCCACATTACAGCAGAAGAAGTTGGATTTATATAATGTTGGATCTGATGCATTCTTATCAGTGATGGAAGTCTTTCTGAACAATATTTTATAATAATTAATAATATTCCTTGTTTTTGATATAGTGCCTTATCACATCAGAG